AAAGAGAATGCTTCCACCAGAGGAACTGGTACCATATTACACCGATGCAAAGAATTGTGGGTACCTGGTAGAGGCTGCCAAATTTCCCGAAACGTGACTTCAACTTGCCAGGAAGTACGGTTATATCTTACCTGGCATCAGTAAAGATGAACTCTTCAAAATGCTCAGTACTCGGAAGGATCCAAGGCAGATTTTCCTTGGTCTTGCTCCAGGATGAGTGGTGAATATGACCGGTAAGAAAATCCTAAAACCTACAGATGAAAATCTCCTTAAGTATTATAGCTCATGGATACCCATCCAAGAAAGCAGAGTTGTTAAGGAGTACTGGAATAGGGACTGAAAGATCTGTATTCCTCATTGTATTTTCCTATGTATAATTTTCCAGATGGTGACGTTACTTTTCAGTGTACTCATATCTCTCATTTTCATCTAAAATTAAAATGGCAGGAAACAAGGACTACATTTTTAAAAAGGGGTTTAATGGGTTTAATATATTAACTCAAATTGTTAGCACACATTAAACATATAACTCTTGAAATTTAAAAAAAAGTGTCTCTCTCAGTATACCTCTGAAACCATGTTATGCTGCAGTAATGACAGGCCAACTGTACATAAGAAACGTTGCCCTGGACTGAGGAAGAGGGATTTAAAGGGAATTTCCTTGGGTGGTGGAAGCTCTTGGCCCACTCCTGCGCAGTGCTATTCCTGGCCACCAGAGGACTGGCCACCATGGGCCATAGCCTTGGGAGCAGCTGTGAGACAGAGCAAAATCTGAGCTTCGGAGGAGGGATGGAATTGCTTGCCTTAGGGAGACTGTAAGACAACCCTAAGAAGCATGGGCTTAGACAACGAGCACCTCAGTGGCAATCAGATGGACTGATTAATAAAGATCTTTCTCTGTTTTCCATACATCCCAACAGCAGCCCCCCAACTCCTCAAAGGAAAGATTGCCCCACTCTGACATACAGGGTTTGAAGTCAGGCTAAATTTGATTTAGAAATATAACATGTGCAAATCAACAGGAAGTTGAGCAACACCCCCCAACAATTCAGACCCTTACATATGTCGGCAACATGGTGCCATGATCCCCATATATATATGAGGCTCAGATGGCCTAAGTGACTTCCCTAATGTCATTATAGTTAACAGTGACAAACCTGGAAGCCTTGTTATACCATTTTACAACAGGGCACCACGGACACAACAGAGATATAGCCCTTGCCTCCACACACTTGCCATCTAATTGGGACCCCGAAGATTCCCCCTATTATGTACTAGGGAAACACCAGAAAATGTTTTCACTGCAAACATAAATCCAATTCCCAACAAATGGAATCTAAGGCCCTGTACAGCATCCTTCTGTTCCCCACAAATACATTTCTTGTTGTTTGTTTAAATTTAATATTTATAGAGATAGGTTCTCACCATGTTGCCCATNGTTAATGATCAAGGGAGAGACTAGGAAATAATATGACTTTCCTACGCAAGGATCTAACTTGGTCTTCCCACCGAGAGCAGGCTGGCAAGCACCTTTAAGGCAAATGACAGTCAAGTTATTACCAGATCTTTTAGCAAAAACTGTATAATTTTTCCATGTTTTATGTGTAAATATTATTTATTTTAAATTACCTTTATCCTTCCAAGACTGATTTAAAAATAAATTTATGTTGTTTGAATTCCTACGGGCAGGACATTCAGGACACTTTGATATTAAGTTGGTTTGATATTCATTAAGTGGGTTTTTGTGATTGCCAATCATATGTTTAACAATGATATGCCATTTTTAATTAGAAAAATAATGATAATTAGCTGTATGTGGTGGCTCATGCCTATATTCCCAGCACTTTGGAAGGCCAAGGTGGGTGGATCACTGGAGGTCAGACCAGCCTGGCCAATAAGGGGAAACTCTGTCTCTACTAAAAATACCAAAATTAAAGCCTGGCGTGGTGGCTCACACCTGTAAACCCAGCACTTTGGGAGGCCAAGGCAGGCGGATCACCTGAGGTCGGGAGTTCCAGAACAGCCTCGCCAACATGGTGAAATCCCGTCTCTACTAAAAATACAAAAATTAGCCGGGCGTGGCGGCAGGCACCTGTAATCCTCATTACTCAGAAGGCTGAGGCAGGAGAATTGTTTAAACTGGGAAGCAGAGGTTGCAATGAGCCGAGATCGCACCATTGCACTCTGGCCTGGGCAATGAGAGCAAAACTCTACCTCAGAAAACAACAAAGAAAAGAGGCCGGGCGTGCTGGCTTATGCCTGTAATCCTAGAACTTTGGGAGGCTGAAGCGGGTGGATTGTCTGAGTTCAGGAGTTCAAGACCAGCCTAGGCAACATGGTGAAACCCTATCTCTACTGAAATACAATAAATTAGTTGGACGCGGTGGCACATGCCAGTAGTCCCAGCTACCCGGGAGGCAGAGGCAGGAGACTCGCCTGAGCCCAGGAGGCAGAAGTTGCAGTGAACTGAGATCACACCACTGCACTCTGCCTGGGTAAAAGAATAAAAAAACCAACCAAGAAATTGACATTGATACAATCCAATGAATCTTTCATTTCTCGTTCCCTTTAGACACTCGCCCCAATCTTAAAAAATAAGACAAAAATAAAAACTTTTTGTCACTCAGCATTCCTGTTGGAGTACTCCACTTTCTCCTAGTTTAAAAAACTACTTAATACTTCTTGATGCTGCCTTCCTGCTCACTCTGACAGCCTCAGTCGATTTGCTATCCCACAGCCCTGCTGAAGGCCCTCAGTGACCTCTCCTCACACCTCTTCCTTTTTTTTTTCTGAGGTAGAGTCTCACTCCGTCCCCCAAGCTGGAGTGCAGTGGTGCAATCTCAGCTCACTGCAACCTCCACCTCCCGGGTTCAAGCGATCCTGCCATCNATATTTTCCTCTGCCCACAAGGAAATGATCATTTGGCAGCTGTGGTAACAAGAGCCCAGGCTGAAATCTGACAGACCTGGCTTCCAAATCCCAGCCCCGTCCTTTACTGTGTGACTTTGGGGAAATACTTAGCCTCTCTGGGTTGCAATTTCCTCATTTGCAAAAAGGGAAAAGTTGTGTTAAAATTTAGAAATATTGTGTGCAAAAGGCACAATATTATGATTATTATTGCAAATAATCACTCCCTATTCTTCTCTTTCCTCAAGATCTTCCATCGGCTTTAATATGAATCAAGAGCAAGTCTTTCATGTAACGAAAACAAAAAGGCTAAATGGCGTTCGTGTGGCTGCACCTGTCTGTTCACTACTTAGCATTGCCATTTTCCTACAATCAATTCGATTATTTGCCTCTGGACATAGTTTCCTAACAACACACATCTTGAACCAATTTAGGTGAATTTCCTCTATCACTTACAGCCGCCTGGCTTCTGCATCAAGTGGCTCTTTGCAGTCCTTCCTAAATATGAGTATTACGCCTAATTAAGAGAAATGAGCAAATGCTAAGTTTATACACCACCTTTCTCTTGGGATTTTATGATACTAAGCAAAGAGCCATCAGCTGAGTCTGCCAGTCTCTTTGAAGGCGGCTGAGTAGGTACAAAGCCTTGAAAACAGAGCACAGCAGATGTATCTTCAGGGTTTTCTGATCCTGAGGGAATGGAGTAGTCCTTATTCAACAATCATTGTTTTTTTTGGTTTTTTTGGTTTTTTTGATGTTGTCTCACTCTGTCGCCCAGGCTGGAGTGCAGTGGCACCATCTCGGATCACTACAACCTCCACTTCCCAGGTTCCAGTGATTCTCCTGCCTCAGCCTCCTGAGTAGTTGGGATTACAGGCATGCGCCACCAAGCCCGGCTACTTTTTGTATTTTAGTAGAGACGGGCTTTCACATGTTGGTCAGGATAGTCTCGAACTCCCGACCTCACGATCTGCCTACCTCGGCCTCCCGAAGTGCTGGGATTACAGACCTGAGCCACTGCACCCGGCCTCAGCAATCATTGTTAATGATCAAGGGAGAGACTAGGAAATAATATGACTTTCCTACGCAAGGATCTAACTTGGTCTTCCCACCGAGAGCAGGCTGGCAAGCACCTTTAAGGCAAATGACAGTCAAGTTATTACCAGATCTTTTAGCAAAAACTGTATAATTTTTCCATGTTTTATGTGTAAATATTATTTATTTTAAATTACCTTTATCCTTCCAAGACTGATTTAAAAAAAAATTTATGTTGTTTGAATTCCTACGGGCAGGACATTTCAGGACACTTTGATATTAAGTTGGTTTGATATTCATTAAGTGGGTTTTTGCGATTGCCAATCATATGTTTAACAATGATATACCATTTTTAATTAGAAAAATAATGATAATTAGCTGTATGTGGTGGCTCATGCCTATATTCCCAGCACTTTGGAAGGCCAAGGTGGGTGGATCACTGGAGGTCAGACCAGCCTGGCCAATAAGGAGAAACCCTGTCTCTACTAAAAATACCAAAATTAAAGCCCAGCGTGGTGGCTCACACCTGTAAACCCAGCACTTTGGGAGGCCAAGGCAGGCGGATCACCTGAGGTCGGGAGTTCCAGAACAGCCTGGCCAACATGGTGAAATCCCGTCTCTACTAAAAATACAAAAATTAGCCGGCCGTGGCGGCAGGCACCTGTAATCCTCATTACTCAGGAGGCTGAGGCAGGATAATTGTTTAAACTGGGAAGCAGAGGTTGCAATGAG